CTGAGCTCAGGTTCAGGGGCCCCACGGAAACATTCCAGACATACACACAGTTTTCTGAGGCTCCTCACCTCTGAGCCACGGACAGAAACCCGTCAGCCCCGCCTCATGTGCACTCACCTGGTCTGACTGGAGACACCTGCCGGGGAGGAAGGGGGTGGACCAGATGGTGGGAGGAAGGCATCGGAGGAAACGCTGCCCATGGTCTGGCCCACAAGCATCCTCAGGTGCCTCCAGGTGAAGGAATCCTTTTTCAGATCCCAGGGCCGGCCCAGCGCGGCTAGAAGTCCAGGTGGGAAATGAAGCCGGTGTTCACACACACGGGCTGCCTCTGCCCTGCCCCCACCCCAGGAATTCCAAGACGAGGCCAGCGCTTTGAAAAATATAAAATTTTAATAAAGGCTACATCTCTTAATTACAATAATTACTGTACCAAGTAATTTTCCTTAAATGAACTCTTTATAATGCATAATTTACAGTATAAGTAGAACAAAATGCCATCGCAAAAGTCATTGAGTACAAGACTTGTAATAAAAAGGCATAAAATATATTTATACATAAACCCCTTTCAAAAAACAAGGGAAAGCTCGAGCCCTCAATATAGGGCGACACACGGATGGGGACACCGTGCAGGTACAGGTACTGTACTGATTCAGTCAAGCACTAGAGATAGTGGATTAATACTCCTTCGCCGGACGATATATACAGACGTATAGTACAGGTAACGGGGGCAAACAGAATGTACAGATTAACTTAATACAAAACCCGGAGGACAAACGAAGGTGTCGAGGACAAGGTGCTGCCAGGTCTTCCCACAGCTCTTTGCTTCTTTGCAGGGCAGGGGTAGTTTCCAGAATGGCTGTGGCCCAGAGTTTAAAAAAATTTAAAAAAAGAAAAAAGGGGGCTAAGAAGGATTTATTCCAATAAACGCACGGCGAACCGCGAGGTTCTTGCGGGCCTCAGGCACTGAGCGCTGGGCCTTGTGGGGAGCTGGAGGACGTTATGGGATGACTTGGGGTCCCCAGGAGAATCCCCCCAACTCAGCAATGAACATCCAACAAGGTGACCCCCAAGTGGCGGTGATGTTGCAACGTAAGTCAAACCTCAAGACCTTTTTGACAAAATACAGCAGCACAGAAAAAAAAAATGCACCGATTCCTGCGTGTCAATGGCAGGGCACCACTAGGAACGTCTGTCTTCACTTGGAGAAAACGCAGGGCGGAGCGCGATCCCTCTGGTAACGAAGAAACCATCCCTGCACCCCGAGCTCGGCTCCCAAGTTTAGACAGAACCCCGAAAACTTCCTGCCTCCCCTTCCGTGGCTTAAGCAGCATATCCATAAACTGGGGGCAGGGATTATCACTTGTTCAATAAATATCAGTAAGGGCTCCTGTTCAGGGAAGCTATACACAGTTTCTCTTAGTTTATGGGTTCCAGGTCCCTAGGAAGTCATATATTACGGATGGCCGTCTCTCAGATACAGTCAGCATCTTCAATAGCCAGGAGTGGTCATGGTTTTAATAAATAGTTCAGGCTCTTCTTATCTCAGTACCCAGCCCATGAATAATGAAAAACCACCCCCCACCCCCCACCCCACCTCCGAAGGCCCAGTGGGCAGCTCTTCCCTAGACTTTGTCTTCATTTTTATTTTTTTAAATTCCTTCTTTGTGTTGCATGGCGGTGGCTCACGGCCCAGACCGCTTGTGGGGCTCGCACGGCCGGCCGCGGCCAGACCCGCAGACTCAGTCGATCCGCTCCACTTTGCCCAGGATCCGGCCTTCGTACATGGGGAGTACCGTCTCGTCGTCCCAGACCTCCTCAAACACCGCGCCGCAGGCAAACTCGTCGCTGGCCTTTTTGAAGTAATATCTTAAAAGGAAAACCCCAAAAAGCATCTTGGTAAAATTGCATTTTCTGCTTTGAAAGAAACGCAGGGCAACACTAAGGGAAGGCGAGGATGCGGCTGCAGCCGGGGCGAAGGTCAACCTTGGCCCTTATCTGACCGAGAGGACCTGTGTCTCCCAGAGCCATGGGCACAAACAGGCAGCCATGTCACTCGGGAGCAAAGCTGGGCACCGCACGACGAAAGCCTGGGCAGGACTGCCCTGCAAACAGCTCCGAGGCTGCGGCCCTCAACCCAGGACCGCTGCTGTCACCAGCGCTCACGCTGTGGAAAGTGCACCTTGCTGAGTACAGCTGTTTCTTTCTCCTCTTTTTTATTGGGGGGCGGGGGGGAGTATGGGAGGGACGGGAAGGGCAAAGCAGGCCTAGAGTTCATTTGCCACTGCAGCCGAGAGAGGGGTCCCTTAGGGACCCCGGACCAGCCACCCTGACTGGCCGACTTCCTCTTGATATGTCCCCTCCAGCACCCAGGTGCCAACGCCACCGGCTGGTCTCTGGTGCAGCCATGGGACAGCCACCCCCTCCCCTCCCCCGCCTCCAGGGTCAAACACGAAGGGCCTTCTATTATGCCCATTGATTAAAGGTTTCTTTCATCCCGCCCTGGCCTTTTTCTTCTAAGGCTGTTTAATTGTATGGCCTCAAATGAGCAGTCTCTCCGGGCGGCCTCTCTCGGAGTCTCCCTCGGAAACGGCGTCCTCCCAGGCCCCTTCCTTCCCATCCCCAGTGAGGGGCACCTCTCGATTGGATTAAACACACCCAGTTCCCTGGAGGGCGGGGGGGGGGGGGCGCTCTCTAAAAAATCCCACTGCGTCTCAGGGTTATGGCTATATTTTGTTGTCTTTTCTCTTAAAATCAATTCCCCTTGCTTTGTGCTGCGTTTTTTTTTTCTTCGTTAATGAAGGCAAGCCAAATACTTTCCTGGGAGATAAGACTAAGTCAAGTCGGACAGCTGGGTTTAGTCAAGGCTCTTTGTTTTCAGTGTTCCCGGCCCAGCTGACGCGAGGCGCTCAGGGGCCAGTGGTGGAAACGCTGCCTGTGGAGGGGTCGGGGTGTCTGCGGGGCTGGGAGGAATGGTGAGCAAGTAGGAGGGGAGGGGGCCCAGGAGACTCCGGCAGGATGGTGGGAAGAGCTACTTTTCCAAATGAGAGGCTCCAACTCCGATACCACCCTCAGCCCCAGCACCACCCCCTCGGGTTCACCAGGCCGGCTTTCATGGCAAACACGCCACGACCTTTCACATAATTGCACCCTCTTCCAGAAAAGAGAGAAGCGCTGTTCCCTCGCCACCCCCCCTCCAGGACTTCAAACGTGCTCGCTGCCCTCCTCTCCCCCAAGCAGCGGGCTTTTCCAGGGCAACACGCTCTATGTGGCAAACGCTGCTTTCTTCTGACATCTGGCACCAATAGCGTCTGGCACGTCGAGAGGGGCTGTTCTCTTTTTGAACCTCTGCCACAGTGAGATTACTCAACGCAGCCCAGGTCCCCCGTTGCCCGGGCTTTTTCCTTTGGGGGGTGTAGGGATGGGTACTGAATGCTGGAGCATCACCCCTGCTGGGGTGGGGGGAGCAGTGAGGCATGGCACCCTGCGCCCCCTCAACCCAGGAAGTGGGGAGCCCGCTTTGGCCAGGAGAGCAGGCAGAGCGATAAGGAGCTGGGAGGGGCCTGGCCACAGGCTGATCCAATCAGTAAAGAATGTGAGCGCGGACCGTTTGTGCAAGTCTTTGTGCATTAAAGGGGAGGCCGGCCTGGCTTCAAAGCCAGGCTTATTAAGTGTGCCTCAGAAAAAGAAATCAGAGCCAGATGTGGCCGGAGTGGCTGGGCGCCCAGCCGCCCCTGCAGCTGCTCTGCTCAGCGCTCCGTGGCCCCGGCCCTGAAGGTCACCTGCAGTTCCCCCAAGTCCGGCCAAGCCAAAGCCGAGATCAAAACGGATCCCTGGAGGCGCCCTTGTGGAATGAGTTTCACCTGGTGTCAGTCCAGATGAAGGCGACGGCGGCCAGGCCCCCTCCCCAAGCCTCCAAGAGGCTCAGAACTGTCTCAGCCCAGGTGTCAATGGGAAGGACGAAGCCAGCTCCACACCCTCCTCCCAGCCACCGACAGGGTCCCGGCCCAAACCCCACCCCTTCCTCTGAAACAGCAATCCTCGGGCCCCTGGCCAAATCCTCGCTGGGTGGAGGTGGCTGCTCAGGAAGTCACGGGGGTGCTGGGGCCCTGGAGGTGGAATCGCCTGGGTCCAGGAGCCCGTGCCCACCTGGCAGGTGGTAGGTACTTGCCTGCCCCTCGTCCCAGGCCTAAACATAGTCCCCTGGGAGGAAGGCCACAGAGGAGGGGCAGGAGGATGAGCTAAGGTGGAGTCACCACCTGGGCCAGGTAAGGGGGAAAGGAATAAGAAATGCGGCGGCCCTCAGCTCTAGTCTGGTCTGGGTCCCTGGAAGGCCTGGTGGGCATCTCCACTGTGCAGAGCAGGAAAGGAAGCCGAGAGGGTGGGCAAGTTCCCTTCCTGGACCCTGTCCACCCAGTGCCCACCCACAGGTCCTGCCCCCTCTGTTTTTTAAAAAGTATTTTTATAGATTTTAGAGAAGAAGGGAGAGGAAGAGAGATAAACATCAGTGATGAGAGAGAATCATTGGATCAGCTGCCTCCTGCACGCCCCACATTGGGGATCGAGCCTATAACCCGAGCATGTGTCCTGACTGGTAATAAACCGTGACTTCCTGGTTCATAGTTGGATGCTCAACCACTGAGCTACACGGGCCGGGCCTGCCCCCTCTTTGTTATGGACAGAGGAACACCCTGCGTCACATGACTCTTAAGACAGAGGAAGGCAGCTCTTCAGGCAGGACAGCCGAGTAAGAGAAACACGGCCTGCATTTCCGGGCATGGCCTCAGCCCTTCCCCAGGCCTTCAGTGTGTGGACGTCTCTCTGACGCCCAAGCCAGGACAGCAGTCTTTCCTGATCGGTCTGTGTGTCCGTCTCTCTCTATCCCCCCCCCCAACCTCTCTCCCTTTCGGGTAGAGTCCCATAAGGTGGTCCAAGCCCAGCTCTCCTCCGGCCACCTTTTTCCTCAGCATCCTGCTCACCTGGGAGGAAGGCCCTCCCCGCTGCTGTGTTATTTCTGAGAGTGGTGAGGGGAGCGAGGAAACGAGAAGGGATGGAGGGGCAGGCGGCAGCTCACGGCCTCCCCACCTCCCATTTCCTAGGCCCTCGTGGCCCCTCCCAGGTCTGGCCAGGCCAGGGAAGTCACTCTGGCTCTCGGTTCTGAGCAGACAAACTCAGGAGCTGAAAGAAGCCGCGGGACTCTTACCTATAATTTCCCTTTTTGCTGAGCTGCTCTTTAAAGTGGCCCAGGGTCAAGCTCTGAGCCTTCAGCATCCTCCTGTATGGAATCTCTTCTCCACAGAAAAAGTACGTGACGACCAGCTCGCTGGCCTGGAGCGCGTGGACCCCTGCCGGTTTCTTTGGCTCTTTGTGACTGAAAATAAGATGCAACACAGCAAACTCAGCATCTGAAGACGGCGAGCAAACACGCAAACACGCAAACACACACGCACACGCACACGCACACGCTCTCCAAACACTACTTCCAGAGGTAAAGTGAGGCTACAGGGGTCCCCATATCAGAGGCAACCTCTGGTGAGCAGTCCACCCACGTCACCGTGTGGGGCACAGGCAGGGGCAAGTCCCTCAGTTGCACAAATTGCTCCTGTTTTTCTTCCTACTACCAAACAGGGGGGCAGAGCAGTCTCTTTCAGGTCAGCACAAATGGGGAGCCTCCCATCACAGAGCCACAGGGACACTCAAGCTCAGGGTACACTGGAGACAAACTCAGTGCACGTCCTGGGATGGCCTGGCTAGAGCCCCCAGTGTGTGGGGGGTGCGCCCACAGTCATTTCGACCCCCCTCCACTTATTTCGAGTTTTTGCAGAGTGGCTTAAAAACAACAACAAGCTGCGGGCCCGAACAGCTGGTAGACTTAAGGTCAACCAATTAACACAGGAGGGCCCAGGGTGGTGGCTTGCTCAGGACTTCAAACACTGCTCACTGCTCGTGATAAAGCTGCTAAGAAAAAAACACTTTAATTATTCAGACCCAGGTCAGCTCTCTCCAGCACATTTCCTTTTACACGCACCATCCTGTCATCACACGAAGCCAGGCCTCTCCGTCCATGTGGTGAGCGTGCACATTTACAAAAGGAGTCACCATGAGGGGAGCTGCTGTTTTCCCCAAGCCAAACAACGAAGGCCGCCCTCCCTCCATCTCTGCCTCGGTGCGAGCCTCCTTCCTGCTCCGTGTGGCTCCGAGAGGCTTCCCAACGGCTAACTGGCGAGCTACGGGGGGCGACGTTCACGCCCGGGTTTGGGGGCCCTCTGATCCATCCCGCTCGGGGCTAGAGGCCTCAGCCTCTGATGCGAGTGTGCCGGGACCCTGAGCCATCGGCGCTCCAGGGAGGAGCCCTTGTGAGCAAGTCACTGTGCGTGGCTCAGTCCAGGCAGGCTTTCCAGGATCCTAATTTATGGCAACAGCTGTATTTACTGTTCCTTGTCACTAACATGTTAAAATCGGGGTGGTTACATATTAAAAAAGGTTTTCGAAAATCGCCAACTGCCGACTGTGAACACCCCTGAAACGTCAACCACGGGGTGGTCTCGGCACCGACACTCACTCTTCTGCGGCCAGGCCGGGGGCGGAGAAGGGCGCGGCTCCCGTCTGACCAGCGGCCGCGTGGTTCCTGTCCCTCTGCTGGCTGGCCATGCAGCACCTGAGGACACAGCCAGAGCAAAGGGTCAGAGGGGCGCCTGCGTGCCCAGGGCCAATGGGGAGCAGACAGAAAACGGCTGTCTGTGGCCTTGTGGAACAGACACAGATCGGACGCCCAGCTGTGGGAGACCAACGGAGGCCTAGTGCCCGCAGTGAAGGCCTGGAAGAGGCCTTGGGAACGGCCCTCCTGAGCCCACGTGGGCACCCGGGGCGGACCCTGCGAGCCAGGCAGAGGGCTGCAGGCCCCAGAGTCCCCATAGGCTCAGTCACAGCTTCTCATTTGCTCATCGGACCAGGCTTACATGATCCGGGTAAGGAATGGGATTTGTAAGGAATGACTGCACGACGTGCCTCACAGATCCCGGTTAGCTCTCCAGGACGCATGAAACTTAAGGCCACCATTTCTAGAAGCTGGAGAGGACAATGTGATGCGGCCAGAACAAGGCCCTTGCCAGAGCCACAGGCCAGGTCTCTACATCCACGCCCTCCACCCCCAGCGCCAGCCTTTCGTCTCGGACGCCGCTTCCACTCACCGCTGCTTCGGGGGCTTGGACACCTCAGCCAGCCGGCGGCAGGCCTCCTCCAGCTGGGCCAGGGTGTTGGGAGGGGTCAGGGGCGGCATCGCAGGGTCCTGGGTAAACAGGTGGGCGCGGGCGGCGGCTCGGGAGTGCCCGCTGCTGCCCCCCCACAGGTGGTGCCGGCTGGCTCGCTCGGCGGGGGGCACACGGACGGACTCCAGCGGGGAGGCCTTTTTTGTGCTTTGGGCACTGAACAAAAAAGGGAGGAGAAAGCAGAAGGAAAAAGAAATTGGGTTAGAAAAACTGGAAAATGTGACTTCAAGAGCAACTTCTCTATTCTGCCTTCAGAGAGAGAAGAAAAAATAACTGCCATAACACGGACAGGGGGCGTTGCCAAAACATGGCATTTTTGTGGTCTGCTCAGGCCAACGCTTAATATTAAGATGGCAGGAGCAAACAGTTACATTTGCTTCCGGCCGACGGCAAAAATAGCCAACCCCACCATACCTCCGGTCTGCCCGGCCCTCTGGGGGTGGCGCCGGCGGCGGCGTGTTTACCTATGGGGCCTGGGCTTGCTCGGCCGCTCGGTCTCCAGCATCCACTGCCAGACATCCTGCGACCTGTCTCCGTCCTCCCTGGGCAGCTGCAGCCCGGCTCCTTCCCTGGCGGCCTGGGCAGGGTGCTGCCTCGGCTGCCGCTGCGGGGAACCAACAACCACACCCCTTACCTCTCTGGGACGCCCCCGCGGGGCAGATGGGACGGTGGGGGGCGAGATGCACCTGTTCCCCCTGCCTCCCTACCCTGTGCCTCACTTCCTGGAAGCAAAATGCCCGTGACCTCTGACCTCACCCCACACCGGCCCAGGGCTGTGGTTGGGAGAAGCCCCATGGGACAGCCCACTCCCGAACACTTACCCGAACTGCTCGGCAGGCCCGGGCTCCGGAGCCTTGGGGTGGCTTTTGCACTTGGGGTAGCAGTAATACTCGGGGCCGCCGGGACAGAAGCAGCGCACCCGCTGTGCGGCCTCCGCCTCCATCTCCTCCTTGGTCTTGGGGACGGCGTGGTGGTGGATGTAGTGGTGGTGGACGTGCTTCGTGGTCTGCTTGGTCACGAAGCCCTTGGCCCCGAGGAGGGGGCAGCCGGCTGGCGAGGCGGCGGGGGGCAGCTTGCC